GTGAGAGCAAGGAAATCCAGAGACTGCAGGGAAGCGTAGCCAGAGATGAAGTCAGCCTTAGGAACAGCTGACTGGCAGTTCCACAGCCCCCCTGAAACGAGATGTTGGATCTCAGTGGAGCATGTGGGATAGACGAGAGCAGGCCGGTTATATCGATTAGGAGATACACGTGGCCAGTGATAATTGCGAGAAGACACATAAACAGGAATGGAGAAAATACACATGATTATAGCATGAGGGGCGAACAAACCAAATTAAATTAAATTTTAGAGATACTTAGCTCAATCAAAGTAGGATTTGCCTCTTCTTTGCCTCCCTCGTGACTCCCGCAGGACTCTAATGTCTTTGTCAGTCTTCGTCTGTCTGACACTCCAGGAAAGTGCTGCCTAAAATGGACACCTGATTGCTGAGTTCTCGCAGCTGTGGGGCCACGCCCCTTTAATTAGTTAACTCTCTGCAGCTGGTGGCCCTCAAAAGGAAATCTAGACTGGCTCCCTCCTGAGTTGTTATTGTATTTTCAGTGTNNATCTAAAAACAGAATGTTACTCACACAATTCTAGAAGTCACCAGTTGTTATTCTGTCAAAATCGAGTTGCACACTGGCAGGTCAGTGACCAGGATGAGACTTAAATTCAGTGTCTGGGGGAGAAGTGGCCGCAGATCAGCTGATGGGCCTCAATCGAGACTGGCTCCCTCCTGAGTTGTTATTGTATTTTCAGTGTCACAATGGTTTTCCAATTACATTAAACCCTAAGTTATAAAGTTATGAGTTTAACCCTTAATACAGTTACACCTACTCAATAAAGCTCTTAGTATTCTACAAATGTTTAAATCAAAGTTAACCCTAGCAGTCAGTTAGTTCGGTTTGAAGGTTCCAGTCAAATTACTTGTCCCAAGTTTCTGCCTGACAGATACTGTAGCGGTTTTGAGATTTAAAATCACAATTTCAGTCAGATCAACTACAGAGCATTTATACAGAGTATACACACTGAAACAGAGAAGTCTAAAAACAGAATGTCACTCACACAATTCTAGAAGTCACCAGTTGTTATTCTGTCAAAATCGAGTTGCAAACAGAAGCCATTAGTCTGAGGCTTTGTGGAGCAGCAGATGTAGGTAGATGCACTAGGGATGAGTGCATCTCTGAGTTGATTTTCTGGTTAATTTTATTTTGTAACATTTATTTAATAAACTAGTCTTTAATCAGTAATCAGGTACTCGTGACATTTGTATGACAGTTAGTCGTCTATGAATATATTTGGTTGAGGACAGCCACACCCTGCACACACAGTTGCAGCGAGTTTTGTTAAGGCCTAACATAAAGAAAACACTTTTTGTAGTTAATCAGCCATACATGAAACTGATTCCTGGTTACAAACGCAACCTGTCGTTTTTTATTCTCTGCCTGTTTGAATGACTTGCATCCGTATCCCCAATACTAGGACAATATGAATGTTCTTATGGACTGGACTGCATGCCCTCAGAGCTCCTGTTGCTTCTCGCTGCTGGGCTTCAGCTGTTTGCCCTTAAATCTCTATCCATGTCTTGCTTTATTTCCACATTACTCACTTTGATATACTTTAATGAGGGTTTGATTTCAGACTTTTGCTGTTTCTGGAGCCCCGAAGAAGAAAAAAATGATTGAATGTGACAAATGAATACTCATGTTGGTCACCCCCCCCCCTCTCTGTGTGTTCTCTGCCAGCAGCAAAGCGGAGCGCCCGCCTTCATTGAGCCTGTACCCCAGCGGCGAGGGAATGGTACGTGGGGGTCTCGGGGGGGCTAGGATGATGCCCGGGAAAGACATCTGGCAGGTCAGCGAGCTCGGCCAGTCTCCTTTCCGCTCTGCCTATCAGGTGGGACAGACGGCGGCCATGTTGTCCTCCACGGCCACAAACACAGCCCGGGGGCGGGGGGGGAGTGATCACAGCTACACGGACCCCCTCCCCTCCACACCTGCTTGTGTCACTTTCAAAGACACTTTTTTATTAACGTCACTTGGAAATCTATCATTTTAAAGTCAGTTTTGTTGACTCAAGCAAGCATGGGTCCAAACGGTGTGTTTACTGATTTCCTGCCATGTTTCTGCTTCATGGTTTATTATAGATATTTAGCTGTTTAAGAGAAACAGCCAAGGTAAGAAAAAAGAGGGGAAAAGGAAAGTGTTGTCTTCTTTTTGTCGCTTCTTCCTGGTATGTAGCTTTGACAACGTGCTAAGAGCGTATACACACCTCAAGGTTAAGATTTTAGGACATAGCCACCTTTATTTTCTAAGTTTCAGCATTTGAAGACTAACATTGTTTTTGAGTCTTTTGCTGAGAGTTATGCAGAAATCAAGGAATTAAGCTGTCTACTTGATTGATTTGTAAGTTAGCCTTTTTTGACAGAACACCCCAAATTTGACGAGCTTAAATTGGGAAAACCATATTCAAACTTGAACTTGTCCAAAATAAGCGACAGTAGTTTGCGCTCAAAACCCTGTACGCCATTCAAAACAAAATGCAGCCTCAAATGGGATTATTCAACAAGACATGAAGCTGCTTACAAATCATAGCAACTCTATCTAGTAATTTAATGGTGCTACCAGACACTGTAGTTGCTAGAAATAAAACGAGCTGTGCAAGTATTGTAGGTCAAAAATGATCGCCTGTCTCCACTATATACTCTTATACTGCTGTCTCTCTCCTCTGTCCTCGTCTCGCTCCACTAAGGAGGACGGATCAGAGTCCGACTCGTTGGCACCGACACCCAGCAGCGCAGGGAGCAAGTCCAACACCCCCACCTCCACCGTCCCCTCGGCCACCGTCACCCCCGTCAACGAGGGCTTCGTCCCGCAGGCGGAGTTCGATGCGACGCGAGCTGGGAACCGCAGGAAAGGTGCGAAGCGGCTCAGCAGGAACATGGAGGTGCAGGTTTCTCAGGAGACCAGGAACGTCAGCATCGGTAAGAAGACGCCACAGAACAGATGATTATATTTAACTTTATCGTCATTGCATTGAGTAAAAATACTGGGACAGTGAAGCATCTAACCAGGACAAAGGAAACAGTTGAGTGCAGTGTAGGTTATTGGTATAATATAAGTATATAAATGTGAGAAATACAAAAAAGCTACAGTATATAAAGTATTAACAGTGTTTCTGGGTTTAAACACTATGAACAGTAGCTTGACTAAAAATAGACTAACAATAAAAACAGTATAGACATATACACTAAATATGAAAACACTTACACAGTAAATAATTGGCAGCGTCTCAGATATGGAACTTAGACATTGTTCACTCCCAAATAATAAATTGGTGCATTTTTGAAAAAAATAGGATATTTGACGTTCAGTTGTTTTTTCGTCATGTTTTCCAGGCATGGGAAGCAGCGATGAGTGGTCCGAGTTTCAGGAGATCATCGATTCGACCCCTGAGCTGGACATGTGTGTGGACCCCCGTGTGTACGGAGGAGGAAACAGGTACAAATATACCGTGGCCGCATCACTGGACTGCCATAACAAAGTATTTTGAATCAAATGAATTAAATGATGTATTCTATGAATTATGTATCAGTGGTGATTTTCCCAGCTGTGCTACATAGTAATGATTTTACCAGGTTCAAGTCTTAGGACCAAAAGTTGCAATAGAAGCGAGTACAAGTGATACATAGTAAGTCATATCTTTGTTTATTGCTATTGTTTATTAAACGTCATGTGTGTTTCAGCCCCTCCCAGGGCATCGTGAACGAGGCCTTCGGCATCAACACCGACTCTCTCTACCACGAGATCAAAGACGCCAAATCAGACATCATCGGAGACGTAGACGCAGGCGCCGAGCTGCTAGGTGCGAACAGGACTGTGTCTTCCATAGGTTTAGATGTGTTTACGGGTTCAAGTGGAATACCTGCCCTAAAGCTTGGCAGTAGAAATCTCTCTTACATTTCAGTGGGATGCATTGAACTGAAGTGATCATTGTCTCGCTTTCAGAATTCGAAAATTCTTTACTCTTTAAATTATTTGTCCCGCAATGGGGAAATTAACGGCATTACAACAGCTAAAGCACATTCCAGATTAAAGTAGAGCAAATTGTAAGTTGTACGTTTAAGTCTGCTCTAAAAATAGAGCAAACTTACATGTTATATAAAAAGCAGGCACAAACAAGTAACAAAAGAAAAGAACAGATAAGTACAGAAAACTAAGTAGCAGTCTTTCTTCCTTCTACGCTCTAGGCTTCTACTGTAAGCTTACATGCCAGTTATGTGTATTATTATAACTGTTAGATTTAGAGTTTTAGTTTAGTCAGTTTATTGAACATGTCAGAAACAAAAACATACAACAATAATATATATACTACTTTTTTTTCCCTTTTTCTTTCTCACTCAAATTAATAATTATAACAAAGTACAAAAAAAAAAAAAAAATAATAATAATTCTCAAATAGTCTCTGTCATGTTCTACAGGGGCAAGAAGAAGCTTAAAAAAATCTTTTCTGGTCCTACCCTCTCTAGCATATATGTTTCTTATAAATAAAATATTAGGTCATCGTCATCAGAGTAGATCCAAAGTAAGGGAAATGCAGGCTGATGCATGTGACTGTTACATAAAGGCATCTTTTCTTTTGGCTCTGTGTTATTGCAGGGCAGGAGCTCCATGTGAGGCTGTGTGAATGTGCCACTGCACTGACTTTTACTTTGCATTGTTGAGGCTGAAATGTTCTCTGTGCCGGCAGCTTATCTCTCCGTCACATCCTGAAAAAACATGCAACCCCTCTCTGGCTGCACCCCCGACCCACGCTGCTCATCCATGCAGTGTTTTTATTATTTGTATTTGATCATTTCTTTGACTTTTCTCTTCTCTCTTTTTGGGGCACAGGCATGTTTAGTAAAGTCCATTTCAAAAGCTGCACGTGTAAACAGATCCTTTAAAAGTTTAATTTACCATTTATTTGACTTCATTGCACTTTATGCTTGTTACTTTGACAAACACACTTTAAGGGGATTCTGGTGGATTCTTCATTTCAGTTTTTAGGGGATTTTGGGATTATTCATCATCAGAAACGGAACAGAGGATTTTCTCCATCTTCTTGTCCATCTGATAACTTCTCACACGTTTTCTTTTTTTTCCTTTTTATGTGCTTCTGCTGGTGACACCCATAGGCGAGTTCTCAGGTGTGTATCTGATCATGCATTGGTTGGTATATATTTTTATTTTTTACCTCTTTCGTCTCCTCTCTTATTTCTAAACTCCACATCTAAGGGTAGGTATAAACCAGTGTTTACGAATTAGAAGAAGGAACAATACAACAGCTTATTATTATCATTATTATCCTATTGCCCTGAACTTTGATGATACAGTAGATGCCCAATATACATAACCTTTAAAGTCACAGTGAAATCATTGAAATCCTTTGTGGTCGTCACAAGCTGTCAGACTGCATTGACTTCAGAGACCTTTTTCTTTTAGTCTCTCATATACTTACGATATAACTCAACGGTTTATAATGACTCATTTCATCCGGTTCAAACAGGAACTGCATCATTTCACAGAAGCAATATCGTCAAATATGTTTCACTGGGACTTTAAATGAATCGTATGATATTTGATGATGTGATCTGTAGGATCACTGTAATACCTGTTTCTGTGTGAGACACAGCAGCGTTTGTCCAAATGAATAAATGCTTATCAGCATCTTCTCTCTTCTCTTTTCCATTCCTGTACTTCACATTTTCCTCTCTGATACATGACCTCTCCTCTTCCTCCACTTTTTGACTTTTCTCCCTTCTTCTTCTTCTTCTTCTTCTTCTTCTTCTTCTTCTGCCTCCAGTCCGCGATGATTTCTTCGGTAAGGCTCACCTTGCCTACTCTCCTGCTCACATTATGCTTGTTCTGTTGTTCCCTGGCCGCTCGTTTTGACATCTTTCTGGTTCCTTATTTGTGTCCGTGTTGCTTTTATTAACATTCTGAACCTCATTCCCATCTCCCATACGTAATGTTTAGATATCTGTCAATATGAAGCTGCTCATTTTTAGAACAAAAAAAGGAAGCTACAGAATGATCTAATGGTAAAGAGGCACTACAATCAAGAACAAATGGTGAAAGTCTTTGAAGGACACACACAGCCAGAACTAAAGAACAAAGTGCTTCATCAGAGGTTCTTTTTTCGTTGGACTTCTTTGTTTACTTCTGTAACATAGTTACATCACGATACAACACTTGCACTTCTATTTCCTAACGCTCCAACAAATTGTATGTGATAGGCTAAGGGGCGGGGCATTCTCTAAGCAGTTGACCAATCACAACAGAGCCGGCCAGCTAACCAATCAGAGCAGACTGGGCTCAGAGGGTGAAAAGAGGAGCTGCAGCACAGGCAGTTTGAGGACAATACATTAGACAACATTAAAGCATGTAAACATGTTTCAGTAGAGACACAACATACAGATATGATCCTGAAAATGAGCAGAACAGGGCCCCTTTAAGACTGCAGTGAAAACAGTCAGTCTAAGCCTTAAGTAGCCACAAGTGGAACCCAGAAAGATGGACACCAACCTTTATGTAATTTTGATGTTGTGATATGTGATCTGCCTGCAGAGATTTCTTACCCAGAGTTCAGCAAGTACTCGTTTCTCTGCAGACAACACACACCATTTGGCACTTCGTATAATATAATGACTTGGCTATTTTGTTTTTGTTTTGTTTCTTAGTTCCAAATGTTTCTGTGTTGAAGCTTCTGCTTATACTTTGTGCGCTTGGCTTCTGTTGCACAGGGCCTGCTGCTTGCACGTATCATTTTCAGTTGATATCCAGCAATGATAAAGATAATAAAGATTCAATTTAGGAGTTAATAGGTTGAGCTTGACATTAACATATTTGTATGTGCAGTCAAATATTGTTTAGTCTAGTTTCTTGAGTGTTATCCAGATATTTGACATCCCTCTTTACCTGATGTAGTTCCCTTGTTAGCGAGGGAGGTCAAATCAACAATCTGTTCATTCATTTTCATATTTAATTATTAAACCTTTAATAAAAGGTACGGGATTGAAAACCTCCACAATCCTGTACCTTTTATTGAGGGTTTAATAATTAGATTGGCTGGTCTGAAAGGCTGCATTGCAACTTTGGGATTCTAATTGTTCTTATCTATCGTTGTATTTATTGATTTATGGATGTTTGTGATGGTTAACAGAGATGTTATTTATTTCAGGGATGGGTAAAGAGGTGGAAAACCTGCTGACAGAGAACAAACAGCTCCTAGAGACCAAGTAAGAGACACAGAGAAGATTAATGTGTGTGCATTTGTCTCTGATATGGATATGAAACAAGTTGTGATTAATGTATCTCCATATACAATGGCACTTAAACATACTGGCATCACTTACTACTTACACTACTTACACTACTTACTAATTACACTTACTTACATTTAGCTAAGAAGCTAATATTTTTCACCAAAGATACTCTTTATTCCACATTTATATTTTTTGACTTGAACATCCTTTTAAGTGAATAACAAATCATCTTTA